TATTTCTATATACTATCAATGAACAATGGGAAATTGAAATAAAAAATATTATTTATAATAGCACCAAAAACCATGAAACACTTAGGTATAAATTTAAAAAACATGTGCAAGACCTGGATGCTAAAACCCAAACACACTGACAGGGGAAATCAAATAAATCAATAAGATCCAAATACACGGAGACACACATCGGTTCGTGGCCTGGGAAAGGCAGTACTGCCAAGGTGTCAGCTCCCCCTGAGCTGATCTGCGGGTCAGCGCGATCCCAGTGTGGTCTCCACAGGGGCTTGGCAGAAATGGATAAGCTGATTCTCAAATTTTTATGGAAAGGCAAAAACACAGAATAGACAAAACAACCTTGAAAAAAAACAAAGTTGGAGGCATCTTGTAAGTATAGAGTTGCAGAAATGAGGAGGGGAGAGCTGGTGAGCGGATGGCCACAGGCGCCAGAGGAACAGAGCAGAGAGCCCGGCACAGACCGACGCGGATGCGCCAGCGGTTTCAGCGCGGCCGGAAGGTGGCGCAGTGGGGAAAGAGCAGCCTTGTCGACCGGTGGGGCGAAGCGAGTGGGCGTCCACACGCAGAATAATTAACCCCCATCCACAACTCGCACCACACACAAAAAGTAACTCGAAATAGGCCATGGACATAAATGTAAACCTAACAGTATGAAGCTTCTGGAAGAAAACACAAGAGAAAATCTGTGTGGCCTTGGGCCAGGCAAAGATTTCTTACACGTGCCACAAACACAATCAGGAGAAGAGCAGATTGAGCAACCGGACGTCAATAACACGGAAGAATGTCACATGAATGGTGCCGTGCGGGGACAGCCAGGCTCAGTGGGCCTCACCCTTTTTGATCTATTTCCGTGACATTCTGGAGAAGCCACAACTACAGGAGTGGAAAGAGTCTGTCGAGGGCTCGAATAGGAGGAAAAGGCAGAGGAAGGGTCGATTCGCTGTCTCTTCTGGGGCGGGGACGTCGGGCGGGGAGTTACACCATGGGCTGTGGACTCGGCCTGAATCCCATCCGCGGTTCTCCGGGTCCCAGCCTGCAGCTGGCAGACGGTAGGACTTCCCAGCCCCATAACTGCATGAACCAGTTCCCATAACGAACCGCTCTCTCTCCCTCTGGGTATATGTCCTGCTGGTTCTGTTTCTCCAGAGAAACCTGACTGATACCCATTTTTGTAGTGACAAAACACAACAACCGCGAGGAACTGGAAACATCTGACTTTTCATCAACCCGGGAATGCTCCAATAAATGGTGATATATCCATAGTGTCTTCTGCAACTGTTAGAGGATGGGTTAATGCCCACGTTGCTAAAGAGTCCCACATATACTGTTTTTACTAAGGAAAACAAAATCCGGAGTCGGGAGGAAGGCAAGCCCCGTCTGCGTACGCTTGCGTGAGATCTGAGAGGGTGTCTTATCCCTGCAGGGGCTGACGTGGTGGCCCTGACTGAGGGGGGTTGGGGAGCCGGGAGGCAAGCATGGGGGGCACCCTGGACCCCTCTTTGCTCCCCTCCGTGGTGGAGAGCTGGGCTTGCTGCAGCCAATGCACGTGGCTTCTGTGGTTTGAAAAGTCCATTAAATGGAGTATTTAAAAAAAACCTAGAGGAATTTTTATTTAAGATGGCATTGTCAAAGCGATGCCACATTTATTTTTATCAACTGCTCTTGTTTCTATCCTAAGGCCCTGAACCGTTAGCTTCGTGCTCACTTGTGATTTAATTACCAGCCTTTGTGAAGGCAACGAAATCTCACTAAATGTGGCCTTGGAGAGAGAACACGGCTGCGAGGGGCGAGACGGGGGTGTTCTCCGGACCTTCGTTGTGTGAGACTCTTTTTGTCTCGCGGTGGGACACATCTCATTAGTGGGTCATGAAGTTCTTGGGTCACAGCCAGCACTTTGAAATGGCAGAGTGCCTTGACTGCACGCAGTGGGGGTGACACGGCGTTCCGCGAAATACCACTCACGCGCTTTGGTGTGTCCTGTGTTGTGATGTTTCTGTGCGGTAAGAACAAAGGTGGACAGACCCTGCCTGCCAGGTGGGTCGCGAGAAGGCTGAGTGCAGGTCGCTGTGCTGGGGGGTCTCTCCCCAGAATCCCACCATTGCCACGGCCAGGGTGGCCTGTGTGGTTCCCACGGGGGCCAGGGGAACCGGGGACTCAGTGCGGACAGGTCCCTGGAGCCCGCGGGTGGTGCCCCCTGGCCCTGCCCATGCCGCTGTCCTCTCACCTTCATCCTGTGGATCTCGGCCTTCATGGCTTGGGTCTCCGTCTGGCCCGTCTCAGAATCCACCGAGGCGCGCATCTCTTTGGCCAGCTGGATTTTTTTCTCCCAAAGCATAATCTGGTGTCTGCAGGAGTAGAATCGGCAGTGTAAGAGCTGGCGAGATTAGGAGTTCTCTTCCGATGCTTCAGCGAGCTCACCCTCTGAGGCCTCACCTAGCTCTCAAGCTACAGTGGCAGAGTCGCGTCCTCGCAAGCACAGAGACCGTGGGGCTCACAAAGCCCGAGATGTGTGCTACACCTGGCTCCTTACAGAGGTGCTTGCCACACTGTCACCCGGCTGCAGTGCAGTGGCATCATCCTGCCTCAGCCTCCCGAGCAGCTGGGACTACAGGTGCACAACACCACCCACCGGCTAATTGTTCTATTTTTTAGTAGAGACGGGGTCTCGCTCTCGCTCAGGCTGGTCTCGAACTCCTGGGCTCAAGCAATCCTCCCACCCTGGCCTCCCAGAGTGCTAGGATCACAGCGTGAGCCACCGCGCCCGGCCCAACCCTTGACATAGACAGACGTGTGGCGCAGGGGGAGAGAGGGAGGGAGCGAGAGGAAGAGGGAGAGATACGGGACACAGAGAGAGAGGGAGGGAGGGAACACGAATATATAACTTTAGGAGCTGAGAAAGTAAACAGAATTGATAAAAGTTGACTTAAGAAGAAGTAAAAAGCCTGAATAGACCAACAGTCTAAAAGCTATCAAAATGTCACCAAAGACACATGCCCCCAAGTGTCGTCCCAGATGGCTTTACGCCCAGACTCTACCAAACTACAAGGAATATGGTCCTTCTGCTGTCCGCTCCCTTCCGGAGCGGGTCAGACACACCTCGGCGCCTCAGCAGCCGTCCCAGCTGGGGACGCAGAGCCGCATGCACGGGCATGAAGAGATGGCCACAAAAGCATGAAACTGCTTCCAAGGGAAACATGGAGGACAAGCACAATTCCATTAAAGACAGAGCAAGAAATCACCCTACACAGCGGTTTTCTGGTGAAGAAAGAGAGGTGGAATGACCTGTTTCCCTTGCTCCTCTGCACACGTTGTGGATTACAGTGGGGTATGTGTTCCTTTAAAAATCAGACACCGTAAAAAGTAATGCGTATTTTAAAAAAGTTTATCCCAGCGGGGAGGGAGGGTAAGGGCATCATACGTAACCTAATCATCTGTACCCCCATAACAGGCTGAAATAAAAAAAAAAAAAAAAGAAAAAAGAAAAAAGTTTATCCCAAAGAAACACACTCGGTTTCCGGTGATGACTGGTCTCCCCTAGGAGCTGCCCCTGACGGTGGTGGATCAGAAGGCTGCCGTGGCTTCAGTGGCTTCTGTGGTTCTTCCGGGGTCCACAGGGGTGGGCTCCAGAACCTCTCCCCAGGTGGTTTTAAACGCAGGGCACACAGACGCTGCAGGCGCAGGGACACGTGTGACAGTGCGTGGCCAGGACGGGGACTTACTCGGCCTCCACCAGGTTGCTCAGCATGGCCGCCTTCTCCTCACTGAGCTGGCTCAGCTTCTCCTGCAGCTCGAGGGTCTCCCGCTCCGCGGCCTGTGGAGGGGGAACGGGCCAGCTGTGGGGGCCAGGGTGCCCTGGCGCTGGGCTTGGGCCCACATCCCGTCACAGGCGGCAGGGACGCTGTGCCCCGGGGCAGAACGCCCGCATCAAGAACACGTGTGCTCAGGCGTGTGCCTGCGTCCATTATCCCGTGCCCGGGGACCGGGGGACATGGGGCGGGGGGCTCCTGACCTTCAGCGTGCGCACGAACTCGCCCTCGGTGGCCAGGTTGTCCTGCTGCAGCTGCTCGGAGCTGCCGCGGCTCTTGCACACCAGCACGTTGAGCTTCCTCAGGTCGTTGTCCAGGTCCCTCATGTGCCGCTCGATCTCCTTCTGCTCCCTCCTCTCCTGCTCGATCTTGTCTGCGGCAGAGGACAGAGGCGTGGGCGAGGCCGCGGGAGGGCTGGGTCCTGGCCAGCCGGGCAGCGATGTTGACGGGGGAGCCGGGGTTTGCTTCTGCACCCTTGTCCTTGGGGTCCCGCCTGCCTCTCGTCCCTGGCGCTAAGGTCCCAAAGCCTGGTCTTTTGAGGGAGCTGACAGGACCCGCGTGCGGGGACAGCCAGGAGGTGTGGGAGTCGGGTGCGGGAGGGCCAGGCTCCCCACCTCCGAGGACTAGCGGTTCCTTGGACAGTGGGGACGTGGCTGGCGCTCAGACGCTGAGTCTCCGGGAAAGGTGGGCCCATGTGTCCCCACCCCGCCCCTGCCCAAGGGCAGAACATGGCAGACATTCTCCTTGTTAAGACAGGAAGAGGACATCAGATGTGCATCGTTTGGTCACCTGGCCGCTCCCCCCAAGTACACTCCTGGCTCCTCCTGCTCGCCCGGCCACTGTCACCCGGCCTGCGCCAGGGCTTGCTCATCTGAGCCTGTCTCCCTGGCCTGGCCCCATCTTGCGGCTTTGTGTTTCAGTCAGATCTCGCTTCACGGCACCTCTGCTTGACCGACGGCACCAGGCGGGTTTTTGGTACTCTCCACTCTCCAGCAGACAGGTTTGGGCGGCCCAAGGGCAGGACAGGAGGGCAGCAGGGCCTCTGAGAGGGGATGGCACCCGGTGAGTGCGGGCAACATTTCCCGTGGGGGCCTCACTGTGGCAGGCCTGACTCACGTGGACGCTGATCCAAGTCCAAGTGGAACCAAGATGTCTTAGCAGGTGGCCGTGTGGGTGGATGTGGCCCTGGAAGGCCTCCAGCCTCCCCCATTGCGGGCGCCCGGCCCTGTGTGGCAGGCCCTCGGGTCCTAGACACTGCCTGGGGCAAGCGGGGGCTGGGAGAGCCCCCATGGGACAGTTTTCTAAGCCCCGCTGGAGCAGGGTGGCCGGCCCAGCAGGACCCTGCTCTGCGTGGAGCAGCATTTGCACCCGAGCTTCCTGGCTGTGGCAGGGATGGCGACCGCTAGGAGAGCCCTGAACCTGCAGACTCAGGCAAATTCGGTAAGTTTTCTCAACCCTGTGGCTGCAAACCGGGCATCCAGGCGGGCAATGGTCTGTATTGCAAATGTATTGTGGTGTTTTGTTGTTTGCTGTAAGGTTGAGTGGAAGCCCAGCCGTGTGCCCCCGCCGTGTGACTGGCTGTGTTCCAGGAGAGGAACCTCAGCAATCCGGCTTCTCCGTGAGCCCCAGCAGACCCTGCGCACCGCGGCACTTACTTTCCACTCGCAGTTTCTTCTGCTCCAAGATGTGCATCTCCTTCCTGGCCATGGCCGTGGACTGCAGCTGCTGCTCGTGCTCCTGTGTGGCCGTGACCAGCTCCTGCTGCAGGCGCAGCCAGGTCGCCTGGGCCTTTGTCACGCTGGTGCTGTCTTCGTCCAGCAGCTTGGTCAGCCGTTTGATCTCGACCTCAAGGGGGCCAACTTCTTCCCCCTGGAAGGGACATTCATCAAGAAGCAGAATGAGCCTCCCTGGGCTCGAAGGTCCACCCCAAGGTCATGACGCTGTAGGATGGGGAGGGGCTCAGGTTAGCTCTCAGAAGGGCCAGGGGCCCTGCATCGTGTTCACTGGCCCTGCAGACCCTCTGTAGGAAATACGGGTGTCTCGGGCTCTGGTCAGCCCCCTGCCGGGAGCACCCTGGGCCACAGCCTGTGGGTGCGCTGATGGGGCGGGGCCTGTTACCCAAAGGGGCTTTGAAAGTTGTCCTTGATCAGCACCTGCCAGGGCTCAGGGAGTCACTCTGTCAGCACCCATTGGGTCCTGAAGCTTTGAGAGCAGAAAGGGGGCTCTGCGGTGTTTGGGGCCCCACTAAGCGCTCCCCAGCCGCCCACGCTACTCAGAGACTGGAGGCCCGTGATGGGGTCCTGAGGTTACGTGTACCCGGATAACGTGCCAGGCATCAGGCCTCAGACTCGTGAGACCACTGCTCTTAGAGCAGCGGCCAGGTCCAGAGGCTGCCTGTCGCACATGAGCTGCACAAACAGTCAAAAACAATATTTCCTGCCAGGTGAATTTACATTGCAGTGGCCACAGATAACATCTCCTTGTCATGCCCCTTCCTTTGCGTACTGCTGGTGGCTCCTTCCCGGCGCCGGAGGCAGAACTGAGTAGGCGAGAGACACTACCGATTCCCGGCGCTGAAACCTTTACTGTCTGGCCTCGCAGAGAAAAGCGTGCTGGCCGCACCCATGCCATTTTGTTTGTGAAACGGGCAGGGGAAGAAAGGCTTTGCCACCTCTGCTGCGAGCTCGTTCTGACCCTGTGCAGCTTGGAGAGGGCCTCGGCCCCGCCAGGCACCAGAGCGGCCGGGGACCGGCTCCTGCGCGGGCCTCACCCCCAGCTCGGACACCATCTGCTCCAGCTGCTTTTTGAGGAAGTTGATGAGGCCCTGCTTCCGCTCGATCAGGATCGTGCGCCTGGAGATCTCGTTCTCGCTGTTGCTGATGAGCTCGCTCAGGTTCTTCACCTCCTTGTCCAGCTCGGCCAGCGTCCTCTGATGCATCTCCAGCCTGCAGCTGGCGTTCGTGATGTCCAGCGTGGCCTGAGCAATGTCGCCATCAATTTTGGAGAGATGTGTCACCTGAGTTCGTAAAAGGAAACATGTGTGAACGTCTTTCCGCGTGAGCTTGCTGGTCTACCCTTTCCCGACTGCCGGGGTGTTCGGAGAATTTCCAAGTACGCAACCAGGAGAGGGGGACGCTGGTTTTCCCTCTGTCTCGAGGACCCGGTGAGGGACCTGCTTTTGGAACCCAGACAGTGCCCTCTCACAAAACACAGAGAAAACGTCACTGGGTTTTCTAATTAAACAGTAGCGCACATTGTGGGGAAAATGAGAAAACAAAGGACAGAGGAGTCGACATGTTCGGCCACGAGGTCAACGTTGTCACCACCCGGAATCGAGACCTTTCCTTCCAGCCTACCTACTGTCCCCCCAAACCCCCAGATAGAATCACATCCACATAATGGCTTGTAACCTGCTTCTTGATTTGGTAAATCGTGTCTGATATTCTTACGTCACGTAGGTTTTAATGGCCGTGCCATCGATACTCTATTGTGTTTGCGGCACAGTCTATGAAGCCAGCCACGGCTGGGAGTCCTCCGTGCCTCGGGGAGCTCTGCAGACGCCGGCAGGTCTGGCCCGCCTGTGCCGCCTCCTCTGTGGGCTCTTGGGGGCAGGAGACAGATTCACTTGGATGCCTTCCTGCCACTGAGGGTTTATGGTGAGGACGCTTGTGAGAATTAGAAGTGAGGCAGCCGTCATGCACGGCAACAACCACGCGGCCGGAGTTGCTTGGAACGGGAGATGCTCTCGCCACGGGGTAGGGTCCTCCTCCCCAGGGCGTGGCCTTGTGGGTGGCCTCACTTGTCGCCGCCCAGACCTCCTGCCAGCCTCCTCAGGGCCACCTCAGCTTCTCCTCCAGTGACACCTGCGGGCTCCAGTGACTTCCCAGGGTACCCACCTGGAGCAGGAGCATGAAGCGTCTGGAGTCCCCTGGCAACGTCAGCTGACTACGTGCTCCTCTGCCAGGGAGCCCCAAGGTCTGGGGCACACAGGGGCCCCTGCCTCACTCTCCGCCCCAGCCTGGCCGCCCTGTGGGGGCTGCAGTCCCTTCCAGCCCCTGCCACTGTCACCAGCCGGGCCGGCACGAGCACACCTGCCCTGCCCCCAGCTCCACTCCTGGCTGGCTATGCTCCTTGCTGGGCCCACCCCGGCCGCCTCCCAGGACACCTGCACCGTCCCAGACCCCTGCCCACTCTCCTCTTCGATCCCAGCCCCCGATGGATGGTCCCTCCATCCGCACTCTGTCCATCCTCCAAAATATGCCCCTCGCCTGCCTCCCACCAGGCCACGGGGCTTTCGGGCAGTTTAAAAGTGTCCCCTGTTCAAGAGTTTGAGGGGCATCTGTTAGAAAATTGCCGTAATAGAGGAATTTGTGGGTCCGGCACTCTTTGCTGCCCTCTGCTGTACACTGGAGGTAGTACATGTATGCCCGGTACAGCTGCCTGGGGAGGGGCCTGGGGGATGGGGGCCTGGGAGCCTGGGCCTGGGGGCTGGGGACCTGAGGCTGGGGGCTGGGGCCTGGCCTCGGCTATGCTGCAGCAGGGCCGGGCAGACTGCTTCACACCCATCTTCTCCAGCGCGCTCCAGACCTCTGCTTTAGCTGCCTGGGGTCTTACCTCCGCCTCCCAGGGAAAGGACAGGTGGGAACTTCCCCGCATGTCCACAGAGAGCCAGCGTGTGCATGTGGCTAGCTGGTGCCAGCCCTGTCGCCCCTACTTCCTTGGCACAGTTGAGTCAGGAGAGAGCTGCCATCCTCCCAGGGTGTCAGGGAGGGGTGAGGCTGCCAGCCAGGACACAGGGCCCCACCCTCCAGGCCAGGCGAGACCCACCAGCTGGGCGTTGGGTCAGTCTTGGCTCAGCTGGGCCTACTCCTGACTGTCACCACCATGCCACAGGGCAATGGCTGCCATCTGGGGAGCACTGCCTCTGGCCCTCCCCAGGCACTGTGCTCGAGTTCTCAGATGGTTACCTGTAATCTTCCGACACCTGGACACCTGCCAGGTAAAACAGCCGAGCCCCCTGTGGCCAAGGGTCACATGGCAGTGGGGCTCACACTCTAGCCACTGAGGCACCTCTGCCTAAGGCCCGGAGGGGCCCTGCCTCCCTCTTATCCACCCCCCAGAAGGGCAAAACCAGAAGAGCTGGGGCAGGGAAGCTTCCACAGGGGGAAGCTGAGTCAGAGCTGGAGAAGCGAGAGACATGTTCAGAGCTGCTGCCGACGAGCCAGACCTCAGCAAGCTGCTGCCTCTCCTACGGCTGCAGGGGCCGTAGGGCGGGCACCTCTGCAGGGATGTGCGACCGGCCTGGCCCCCCAAGGCGGCGGGGGGGCTCCAGTGGGAGTCACACCATGGGAACAGGCGAGAGGGAACAACTCAGATGAGGAATTGTTTTCTGAGGACACGGGGCCCCCTGACCCCAGCTGAGGGGAAAGCAAGACCCCAGGGAAAGCAAGATGAGCTCACAGTTGGGGGCCCCCCCAGCCATGGAGGCCAAAGTCACACTTCGGGGTCCCCAGGGCAGATCAGCCTTTGGTGGTGACCGGCCAGGCAGTGCTGTCTGGCCGCCGGGTGACCACACCCTGTGACCCAGGGTTTCTGCTTCGGCAGTTGGTCCTCAGGAACGTGGACAGAGATTTACAAACAGCATGTTCAGTGCTGAGCTATTTATAACACGTAAAACCTAGAAACAGCCTGAAGTGTCTAACGAGAGAATTGTTAAACACAATATGTACATTCTTATGATGGAACATTATGCAGAAATGAAAATTTATGTTTTCAAAGAATATTTAACAGCCTGGGAAAATGTTACGTTGAATGTGGTCAACAAACCAAATGAAAAACTACATAAATAGTGAAAAATGCATCATATCCTACTCTTATATTTGTGCTTATATTGACACTTTTCTGTGTCATTGTTCAGTAAAATTAATTAAAAATGGATTAAAATGGACCTAAAAGCTGACACACAATGAGACGATTGTTGTTTAAGGTGTGTCTGTCTGTGTGCGTGTCTGTGGGAGTGAGTGTGTGTGTGTGTGTGTGTGTGTGAGCGTGTGTGCTTGCTGCTGTGTGCATGGGGACACGTGCATACTCATGCGCATTTGCGTGTGCAAGTGTGTCTGCATGTGTGAGGAGGAGTGCGTGTGTGTTTGTGTGTGTGCATATGTACCTGTGCACGGAAACATTTCCGGAAGGAACTTTCCCGGAATGTTTAGGAAGGTTACTCCGGTGGTGGGAATAGTTCTTACTTTTTTCTTTACGCCTTTCTGCATTTCCAGGTTTTCTACAGTCAAAATGTATGCCTTTACAACCAGGGCACAGTGAGCGACAGGTGTCGGGGAGGGGCCTGCTGCTCACGCGGATTCTCCCCAAAGTCCCCGAGGACACCGTTCTCCCTCCCATGCCCCGCTCAGGCGAGGGCTGGCCTACCATGTTGGTCTTCTCCTTCTGAAGCTTCTGGATGAGCTGGTTGAAGTACTTGGTCATCTTGTTGGAGGTCATGTGCTCCTGCAGCTTCTCCCGGATGGCCGTGTCCATCCTCCTCTTCAGCTCCAGCTCGCTGCGGATGGCCTGGTGCATGGTCTGCAGCTCGCTGGCGACCACCGCATGCTCCTGGAAAGCAGGAGCCACAGGGGGACATTGCTGAAGAGGCCCGACGAGGGCCAGGTGTGACCTGCAGGGCTCGGGGGACGGCCACACCTGGTGGCCCTTGCTCAGGGCGTCCTCCGAGTCCTGCAGGGCCAGGCTGTAGGTGTTGAACTCGCTCTGCAGGGCCTCCCGCCTGGCCAGGCACTGGGCCGTCAGCTTCTGCATCAGGCCGGCCTCCGTCTCCGCCCGGTTCAGGATGCGCGCCAGCTTCTCGTTCTTCTCCTCCTCCTGCGTGATCGACTTCTTGTAGGCTTCGATCTCGCCGTCCAGGGACTTGGCTTGGTGCTGGCACTCCCTGCAGAAATGGGAGGGCAAAGCCGGTCGCGTGCCCCACTCGGAGGAAGCTCACCATGTGGAATTCAACGTGGAGAGAAACACATTAGGAATCCAACCCTTTTAATTGCACATCTTTTTAAAATCGTTTTTATTTTTAATTTTTATAAACACATAATAGTTGTGCATGTCTGTGGGGTACATGTGATATTTTGACACAAGTGTACAACGTGTGATGATCAGATCTGGGTAATTGGGATATCCGTCACCTCAGACATTCATCGTTTCTTTGTGTTGGGAACATTCCAGATCTTCTCCTCTAGCCACTTTGAAATATACAATAAATTATTGCTAATTATAGCCGCCCCATTGTGCTAACGACACTCGAACTCATCCCTTCCCTCTAGCCGTATTTTTGGACCCACTAGCTAAATCTCGACTATTATTTCCTAATTTATCAATAGAACTATTGCCCATTGAAAGTCCAAGTTTAAAACTCTTTTATATTTAAATATAAATATCTTTTATATTTAAAACTCTTTTATGGCCTCCCGTAATAACAGGGCCTGTTTGCTGTCTGTGGTGAATGTACCTTGCTTTTGCTCAATAAACTTTGCCTCTTGCTTGCTTTGCTTAAAAAAAAACCTCTTTTAGATATTTATTAAAAAATTCAAAAAGTACTTTCTTCTTGGACTAGAATAATGCTCTCCATACCTTCTCAACTACCATCCCCAATCCTTCAATTCTCTTCCCCAAGCAACCCCTTGCTATTTCTTAAATGTCTTTCCAGATACCTCCTGCCCACACGCGGATTATCTTTGTGTGTGTGTACCTATCTCTCTCTCCTTAAACATTACAAGGGGTGGCTGAGTCTGTCCCATTCCGCAGGGCCATTTTCCTTGTGCTACGTCTTAGAGATATCCCACATCGGAGTATGTAGAAATTGCCTAACTCTTTTCAATTCCCTTCAGACTGTGTCCCGAACGACAAATGTGCCGTACGTTAATGATCTTCACCCGAGCATACCAGCTTCGCCACTCCTTAAACCGCCCTCGCGAACGAGGAAAGGGTGCAAGGCGAGACCTGTCGTAGGGGCCTAACCTTTGCGGGGCACAGGCCTAGCCAGAAATAACAACAATCATCAGCCACTGTTCCCGTTCGCATCTCTACAATCGCCACTCTGGAGTCACACAGCTGGTGGTCAGAGACAGACTCTTAGTTTCCTCCGTACATAACATCACCTTTTTGAAACCTAATGGTAGTTCCTGAGATGTCTCCCGGGCCCCGCGACCCAGTGGATGGGCTGACCCCTCCCCGACCGGTGGCCCCTACCAAGAAACCGACTCAACCGGAATCGTGACCCAGCCCAGGGCCAAATTCAACACAGGATTTTGCCCCGATGGCCTCATCCTTCGTCCACCCAACTGTCTCTGCAAACCTCGTCCCCCAGACTCTCGGAGAGGCGGATTTGAGGAACTCCTCCGTCTCCCCGCTTAGCGCTCTGTGGGACTGAACCCTTTCTCTGCCGTAACACCTGCGTGTCCCGGCTTCCTCTCAGGCAGCGGGCGATGAGCCTGGTTGGGCGGCAACGGTCCCAGGGCCACGGAGAGTTTGCAGGGATTTAGGAAACACCAAAATCTTGTCAAACAAATACGGGAGCCTGGGCTGCAGGGCTGCAGTGCACCCTCTGTCCCTGGAGACAGGCAGGCCTGGACAGGCGGCCTGGGGAGACCCTGCCCCAAATCCCCATTCCCCGGGTCCCTTCGCGGGCCGGCCGTACCTGAGCGCCTCCAGGATGGCCCTGTGCGCCTCGTCGCGGTGCTTCATGCCCACCAGGCTGGTGGCCCACTGCTGCAGGACACGCTTCTTCTCCATGCTGATGGCCTCGATCTCCGTGGACGCCTGCGGCCAAGAGGTAACGGGACGTGAGTGCCTGTCTTGTTTCCTCTGCATCGAAGCCCAAAAAGGATGCCAGAGCCTAACTTTCCTGAATTGTCCTCTTGTCCCTCACACAGCTGCCGATGTGTCCACTGGGCGGGAGGACCCGGTTCTAAGACGGCCCGGAGAGGTGTGGGAGCCGCCTTCCGGAATGCTGTCCTGCCCTGCGCCGTCCCCTCCCACCCTGCGCTGGGCTGTACGAGGTGCGGCCGAGGGTGGAAGGTCCCTCCCAAGACACATCCTCAAAGGCGCCCCGGCTTCCTCCTTGCTCTCCTGCTTTGGACCAGTTGCTCTGCTGGAAACCTTTAGTCGTTTCCTCGGAATAAAGTCCAAGAGCTGATATTCGGGGGGTGGGAAGGAGGGAGTACACTGTGTGTCACTGTATTGCCCTTGCGACGACCTCCATGCAGACCCAGCTGCGCTGTCCCCGCAGCATGGGGCCATCGTCATTCTTCCCGTCTCTGCCGACCGGGTCCCTGCCTGCGGTTCCGTTTCCTGTCCCTTCATTCGTGGAGCGTCTACGGTGGGCCTGCGGCGCCCGGTGCTGTCCCGGGTGCTGCAAGTGAATCATGACCGAGCGCGACGCCCGGGCCTGGTGGAGGCACACCCAGGACGGGGTGTTTCTTGCCGACTTTCACGTCCCCTCACGCCCCAAATTCACTAGTGCTTGTAAGTCTGTCTCCTGGCGCCCCCCAGCTCTGCGCTCTGGTCGTGGTCTCGCTCTGCGACGTCCTGCAGCTGGCGTGGGCCGCGCCCCCATCTCCTGGCAGGCCTCCGCTCTTGGTCTTACGCTTCCAAGGGCCGCCCCACCCCAGGATTGTGTAAATATTTTCATTTGTTTTCTTCTGCTGCATTTTCCCCATTTAAACTTGATTCCATCTGGAATTTATTTTAGTGTCTGATATGAGGAAAAGATTTAATTTTGTTTTTCCTCAAATGATTAACCAAATGTCTGGACACCACGGGATGCCTAATTCTTGAGTTCTCTGCTAATTTATAATCTACTAGATTTTTATACGAACCTTGGCTTGTGTCTGGGCCGTCTTATAGGCTCACCTGTCCATCCTTTAGCCTCGGGGGCTTTACGGCATGTTTCAGTACTTGGTGGGGTGACCCGCCATCTGGGTTCGCCCAGACTCCCGGGTTTAGCATGGAAAATTCCACATCCCGGGAACCCTTCGGTCCCAGACAGACGGGGATGGCCGGTCGCCCTATGTGAATGTTCTCCTCCGAAGCAGTTCTTGGCGAGCACTCCTAATTTATTTCCAGAAAAACTCAAGAACCGCTTTGTTAATTAAGAAACTATTTTCCTCCTGGGATTCTGGTTGAAACAGCTTCTACTGCAATCGCAGTCGCAGGTGGGGGGATGGGGCGGCGCCGAGCCCTGTCCCTCCCTTCACCCTGGGAACCGGGTGCCTGTCCACTCGTCCCCGTCCTCTCTCTGTCAATAAAAGTTTTCTGTTTCTTTCCCGTGGTTCCTGCACACAGGAATGCAGAGGGTGACTCACAGATTTTAAAAAAAAGTCACAGTAACTTTGGCTTCCGGTGTTGGCCACGGAGGAGCTGAGTCTGGCACCTCCAGGGAGCAGCGTCCACACATTCAGTCACCTCCGTCCCCTCGCTCCACACGGAGCAGGGATGGGCGCTGCCCGGGAACGCCCACTGCCACAGAGCTGAGAATCCTTAGCAAGACTGCAGTGCTCCCGGAAGAGGCCCCTGCGGGCTAAGGAACTTGCTAAGGGTCCCCCAGCAAGCTGGCGTCAAAAGTGCAAGGAGACAAGAAATAATGGTGATATAGCACCTCTTGTATTCTCCTGGATAGAGCTGGAACACATTCTACTAAGTGAGGTATCCCAGGAATGGAAAGACAAGCACCACATGTACTCACCATCAAATTAGTATTAACTGATCAACGCATAAGTGCACATATAAGAATAACATCTATTGGATGTTGGGCAGGGGGGAGGGGGGAGCGGGAGGAGGGAGGAGGGGACGGGTATATGCATACACAAAGAGTGCAATGCGCACCACCCAAAGAATGGGCATATTTGAAACTTGGACTTGGGGGGGAGAGGGGAAGGGCAACATACGTAACCTAAACATCTGTACCCCCATAATATGCTGAAATAAAAAAAAAAAAGAAAAAAAAAGTGCAAGGAGAGACCAGAATACCCGAATTCCTGCTAGACCTTATAGTCACCCAATGGCTATAAAACAGGAACAAAAATAACAGCCATTAATCAGTCGGTTTCTACTGTGCCTCCACCACGGGGAGGGCCAGATGTTCTTTTTTTAAATTATGTTTTAATTTTTATTTCAAAATATTAAGGGGGTACCAATGTTTGTGATACATGGCTTGAGTCTGGGCTACAAATGTGCCCGTCCCGCAATTCACGGCACCCATTAGGTGGGCTTTTGCCCCTCCCCTCTTCCCCCAGATGTTCTTAGATGCTTAAGGAGACATGCAGATGTGCAAGGCCTGGCTTTTAACCTCAAGGAGCTTGTGGCTCGCTGGGGCCACAGTTGGCTGCAGTTGTTCATCCAACAGACACGTAGGCACTGTCCGGGCAAGTCCACCAGCACCTCGGGGTGGGCCCTAACCGGCATTGGGGCCCCTGAGCCGCGGGGGCCGCCCTTACCTCGCTCACTGCTTTCCTTAGAGTCCGGGTGTCCTCAGCTTGGGCAGAGCACTGAGCCTCAAACAGCGCGATGTTTTCTTCCAGCTGCTTGGCCTTGTTCGTGAGCTGGTCCACAAACAGGTCCTGGGAATGGCAAAGACACGTCCACACTTGAAGGCAAATCCCTGCCAAACCTGACCCGGGGCAACACCGCCACGGCGGCCACCACCCGCCACCGCGGCCAGGCTGAGCGCCTTTTCGAAGATCCAAGGTCCTGGGATCACTGAGTGTGGGCCGCGTTCGCACACACCTGCTTCTTCTTCTCAGTTTCCGCCCGCGTCCTCTCCGCCTCGGCCTTCTTCACCACTCGCTTCATCACGCGGATGTCGTCCTGCACGTCCTGGTCGATGTTCTGCATGTAGAAGAGGTTCAGAGCCAAGTTCTCCAACTCCGCCTGCAGAGCCGCCACTGTGGGAGGAGGCAGAGGCTGGTCCGGCGCCCGCTCTGAGACCGGGGGCCCCGGGCAGCCCCCTCCGTTCTAGGGCGACAGTGGGAAACTGCTTTGAAGCTATAAAGGCCCAGACTTTGCCATCAAAGAGTTTACAGTCTCACCGAAGAGATAAAAATACACATAACGTACGTCCACAGATTGCAACAAGCTGTTCTGTTTCCCACCACGTACTAGAGCTCCTCCCCCCGTGTGAGGACATGTGGAGATAGTGTCGGACGGCTTCACGTTTGATCTGCAGATTTCTTACCACCGAAGGGTCTGCGACCCTAGGCAGGGTCCTAAGACCCCTAGGAGGAAACCAGGGCACAGAGGGCGGGCTGAGTGCCACCGAAGTCCTTGGTATGCCAAGGCCATGCAGCAGTGCCGGCGGGGAAGGGCGAGGGCTGTCCCCCTGGGCTGGGGCTCCACGAGGCAGCACTTCCCGTCCGCTCAGAGTCAGATGACGGCTTTATGTCGGTGCTCTTAGAAGAGACCAAGCCCTGAGGAATTGATTGCTTTAACAAAACACACATGAGATTGATTTATAACGCTAGAACGCCCATTTATTTAGGGAGCTATACCTCAATCAATGATGGTTTGCTCACTGGCATGGGGCATTCCTTTGTCAGGGAATGGATCCAAACAGAAAACTGAATTATAGGTCAAAGGTTGCTGGGTAAATACCATATTGGAGTCCAGTGTTCTCGAAAGAAATAGCTTAAACTCAAAACACAAATTTTTAAAATACAAGATCACTGTAAAACTTCTACACGAGAGAACACTCTGGCTCTGTATGGCTAAGAGTCTCAGGCGGGGAGAGCAGTGGCAGCACAGAAGCCAGGCGGGAGGTTCGTAGGGAGACGGGCCACGCAGCTCTGGAGAGAGGACGGAAGACCTCAGACGTGTCCCGGCTCCTCTGTAAACAATGCATGACCTTTTCCTGCAGCTGCTTTTAGGAGTGTCTCCTTATCACTGGTTTTGACCAATTTGATTACGACGTGCCTGGGTGTAGCACCTCATGGTGCTCGGCGGTTGTTGAGCTTCTTGGATCTGCTGGTTCATGGTTTTCACCAAATTTGGAAACTAAAAAAAATTTTTTTTTCAGAGACCAGATCTCTGTTGCCCAGGCTGGAGCACAGTTGCTTGATCACAGCTCACTGCAGCCTCCAAATCCTGGGCTCAAGTGACCCTTTCACCTCAGCCTCCCAAGTGGGTCCACTGTGCCCAGCTAATTTTTTAATTTTTTTTTTTGAGGCAGAGTTTTGGTCTGTCATTTGGGCTAGAGTGGACTGGCATCATCACAGCTCACTACAACCTGCAACTCCTGGGCTCCTCCTGCCTTAATTAAAAAAAATGTTTTTCCATAGAGGCATGGGGTCTTGCTATGTGGCCCAGGCTGGTCTTGAACTCCTGGCCTCAAGTGATCCTCCTGCCTCGGCCTCCCAAAGCACTGGGATTACAGGTGTGAGCCACTGCACCAGGCCCAAATTTGGAAATTTTTCATCTGTGATTTCTTTAAGTATTTTTTGGTTCTTTCCCTTTTCCTCTTCTCATCCTCTAATACACAGGGATACGAAGCCACTTGGAGTTAGCTCGCTGACCTTCTCCTCTTTTGTCGTCTTCTTCAGTCTTTGTCCCTCTCTGTGGTTCCTTCTGGGCAGTTTCTACAGCAGCGACTTCCAGCCACTGCCCCCGTGTGCGTTTTTGCACATTTTAACTATTATTCATTTGAGTTAATTCCCTCGGCTGAGAATGTCGTGGGAAAGGGTATGCACCTTTGTCTGGGAGAGGGCACTGCCCAGGTGCCCTGCGAGGAGACTGTTCCCATTCATCCCTGTTACGGGCTGAGCGGTGCCCCCCGCAATCCATTTGTTGAAGCCCTGACCCCCAGCACCTCAGATCGTGCCTGTATTTGGAGACAGGGTCTTTACAAAGGTGATTAAATGAGAACATTAGGTTGGGCCCTAATGCAGTAGGACTGGTGTCTTTATAAGAAGAGGAGGCTGGACACAGACACGCACAGAGGGACAACCACATGAGGACACTGGGCAAAGGTGGCGTCTGCAAGCTGTGGACAGAGGTCTCAGCAGGAATCAGCCCTGCCGACACCTCCACTTGGGAACTCTGGACTTCTAGTCCCTCAAACTGTGAAAGAACAAACACCTGTTGTTTAAGCCCCGGGTCTGTGGTGCCCTGCAGGGCCGCCCCACAGACTAACTCGCCCCAGCCCAGCTGCGCGAGTGAGCGTATCCACACTTCCTTGACAGCACCGAGTTCGACGCCTCTCTTCTTTGCTGGTCGAGTAACTAAGAGCTGGTATTTCAACTATCCTTTTTAACTTTCTTCCTTTAACCCCCAGTGAGGGCAAACGTACGTTCAGTTTAGTGGCCAGGGGTCTTCTTCCCTCTCTGAATTTCTTGCCCCCATCCTGGCTACTCTTCCACTGGGATATACAACAAAACAGCGTGGGCAGAACCTTCCAGTAGCTCCCTGACCTTTGCCCCCTGGCGTTACTCCCCAGTTATGAGACGTCCTATGGCCACAGGGAGATGACCAACGGGTCTGATCTCAGCGGGGAGCCCTTTAAAACGAGAGCGTTTTCTCCAGCTGGTGGCAAAGGGGAAATCAGGAACATTCCAAGGGTGAGAGAGATCCCACCAGGGAGAAACCCCCTGCTGGTGCTTGAAGATGGAGGGGTCCCCACGGCAGGGAACAGGGTGGTCTCTGGGCACTGAGAGGCCCCCACCGGCTGCCAGCAAGAAGCGGGGACCTCAGCCCGACAGACACCAGAGATGAGATGCCGCCAACCGCGTGAATGACCTTGGAAGAGGGTTTTCCCAGAACGGCGCCGCACGGACGCAGTCCACCCTCACCTGATTCCAGCCCTGCGATGTCCTGAGCAGAGAACCCGGACGCGCCACACCAGACTTCTGACCTACACGGCTGTGAGCTAACATACCATGTAATCGGCGGCTGTTTTAGGCCCCTAAATGTGCGGCAATTTGCCGTGAAGCAGCAGAAGACTCATACGGGAGATACAGGTGTTGCCAAGGATATTTCAAACGTTTGTCCCAATTTTCATTCGTCTTTTAACTTTGTTGTGCTTTTTTGACAGGTATGTTTTTTGTTTTTATATAATCCAACCTGTCCCTGTCCTCTTCTCCGGGCTCCGCCCTCCCCATGCTTAGGGAGACCTTCCTCCCACCACAGTGATAAACGTGATCCCGCGTGTTCTCCCGACGCTCCTGCAGTGTTCTTGGATCCTCGCTCGACCCGACACTTAGTTGTCATGTACAGTGAAAGAGGGATCTCAGAATTTGTCCTTCAGTTAGCCAAATGATCAAAAAAGACTTGGTGATTTAAAAATGAGACTTGTACGTTTATGCTGTTTGCAAAGGCCGTTAATGAATTCTGAAGTCAATTTCCTCGAAGTTCTCTGGAAGAGCTTGCCATCCTTGGATCTGCTTGTCTGTGTTCGTCCCAGTTTGACTTTGTCTTTATGATGATAGATTTATACTATGTTTTGATACCTGATACCCAAAATGTCCTTCGTTATCCTTCCCTTTCAAAATTTTCTTGGCTATACCTGTGCATTTAGGTATATCCAGGATATATATCTTGGATATATCATTGATCTTAGATCAATGTGTTCACAACAGAGGCCTTTTATGTATTGATACGGAATAATCTCCAGCACACATTGTTAAGCGACAAAAGGAAGGAACAGAGTAGTAGGTATAACATGCAGCTGTTTTAAGTTTTTAAAAAGAGAGGAAACATATACGCACGCCCTTGTGACTTTGCTCATCCACGAAAAACTATCTTCAAAAGATGCACAAGGATCGATGGTGCCTGACGCCTCCAGTGCTGGGGGGGTAGAGAAAGCACTTCACCGCAGAGATCCTGAATTTTGAATCATTACTTTTTCAAAATAAGTAAACAATTATGTCACATGAATTTAAGTTCATCCAAAACATCCCATCATGGACTCTAATTGGAATTGCGCTGACCTTATTACTAACTTGGAGGGAAATGACATTCTTATATTATGCATTCTCCCATCTAGTAACGTGGTTGCTCCGTTTATTAAAATTCGTTTTATGCCCTTTAGTAAAATGTTATTGTTTCCCTTCAGATAGGCTCACTCCTTCCTTGTTAGACTCATTCCTAAGTCTTTTTAGCTGTGACAGCTATTACGAATGAGATTTTTAAAAATTATAATTCCTAACTAGGTGTTACTGGTGAAGAAAGCTGTAGCTCTGGTATCCAGCTGCTTCATCCATTTCTTCTGTTCCTATTGGCTTGTTTTCACTAGTAGAGCATGAGAATTTCAGCATTTCATTTTCAAAATCTGTATCTCATTTCTTTTTCCTGTTTTCTTGCATTGTTGGAACTTCCAAAACCGTGCTGGGTGATGCGCCAGCAGACTCGCTCATCTCGTTCCTGACCTTCGCTGTAATATCCAGTGCCTTCTACCGAGGAAAATTTTCTTGTTGGCTTCAGATAAAAACTTATGAAAAACTTTCCTTCTATCTTAGTTTGGGATGCACGATGAGTTTTATCAAACACCTGTTTGGCGTCCCACCCACAGACCTTTTTTCCTCCTTTAGTTTATAAATACAATGTTTTAAATTAGTAGATTTCCTAATAGCAAATCATTCCTGAATTCCAGAAGTAAATTCTACTTGACTATGAAGTATTTTTCTTTTAATACCTTGCTGAATGTAATCCGCCAATTTATTTTAGGGTTTTCACACCTCCTAAGTGGGACAGCTCTATAGCTTTCTGTTCTGTTTGTCAGCTTTTGCAGTGAGCGAGACACTCGGCATCCTAGACAAGCCTGCCGAGAGTTTCCTGAACTTTCCACCCGCTGGAGGGCTGAATAACACCAGAAGTGTTTGTTCCTTATGTGGGGGGTGTTATTAGGACTCTTCCATAGCATCTTCAAATACTTGGATTTTAGAGAAAACAGATTTTTGACACCATTTTTGATGAAACCAGTACAAGGCATAGCTTTCTTGAAATTAAAAAAAACCCAAAAAACTCCCCTGAATTGTCCTCACTCCCAATGTTGCTGCTTGTATCATCTCCTCTTTGTTCCTTGTCAGACATCCCAGAAGGTTAAGTTTATTGGTTATTTCAAAAAATAAGTGGTTTTATTTGTCAAATCAATTTATTTTCCTTTCCTTTTTTTTTTTTTTTTACATCACCAGCATCTGCTTGTGGTCTTTATTAACTTCTTCTTCCTATTTCTTTTGCCTTACTTGCCCAGAAGCCCTCACGTGTGGACTTCCCTTCGCCGGTAATTTCCCAGGCGTCGGCAGCTGCAGTGCGGCGCAGACCCCTGCTTGCAGGTACCCCTAGAACTCGGTCAGCGGCGACACACTGCCACTTATATTTAAGATCTGTGATTCTCAGCCCTGACTGCACACTAGAATAATCTGGAAGGCTTTAAAAAAAAAAATAAACAAGAAACAGACGCTGCCTGGTCCTTCCCAGAACAAATCCACCCAGAATCTGGGCGGGGCTCCTCCAAGGGGCAGCCCAGGGTCAGTCCTGGACAGGCCGTCTGGTTCTGTCCTGTCTGGAAGCTGCAGCATCTTCCTCCTTAATCTTTGGAATTTGAAAATTCCGCCGGCTATGTCTAGGCGTGTTTGTCGTTCTCTCAGCTGTCTGGCCCTGCGCGAGTTTGCACGTCTGAAGGTTTGTCTTTCCGGAACTCGCGCAGCTGTTCCGCCGTCACTGGCTATTGCCTCTCATCTCCCGAAATGTCTGTCTCGTGACATCGGTTTTCCCATCTGCCGTCCCCGTCGTTTACGTCCTTCTCAAAGTATCCGTGGTCTTGGGTGTGGCTCCGTACTTGGGGAAGATTTCCCGAATTGGACTTTCAGTTCACAAATTCAGTTTTCAACACTCTTCTTTTGTCTATTTCGTGCCTTTTTTGGTGATGATGATTGTATGTTTTAATTTCAGATGTGCTTTTTCCTAACAGTTCTCATTTACTGATGTGTGTCCTCTGCAACCTCACGCAGAATACCACTGGGGCGTGCCACGCCGTCTCTTTTTGGAATCAGGATTGAGAGAGCCCTGGCTGGGGAGCCCTGCTACCTCCTGTCTCTGGGGATCGCCATGTGACCCCCACTTCGAAGTGAAGTTTCAGGCACCAGTGGGCTTCCCACATGAGGCAGGTGGTGTGGGCTTTCTCCAGGGCCCATGTCTCCCTTAAGGGACAGTATAGTGGCAGCAGCCCCGGGGTCACCGTGCAGTCGGTGCAACCCTCGCCTGGCTGAAGGGCTGCTGCTGCACTCTGCTGATCTCAGGAAAGCACACAAAGTCCACAAGCGTGTCTGGATCTTTCTAGAAGCCCATCCACTCTTTGCACCCAGTGGAAGGGCACTGGCAGGCACCCTGCTCCGGCTCTGCTGCAGGTGTGGAGGGGGCAAGGCGCCTGTCCTCCTTCAGGTTGGTCTAGGCTCTACTGTATCTGGAGAATGTGGCACTTCAGTGTCAGTGTGATTTCACGATCTTCCCTTTTTGGAGTTTCCTGTTAATTTGGTGGTACCTGGAGAGAGGTTCTTGATCCATGTCCACTTATCCTAGCTCTGAAGATTCCAGAAACCTCTCCTGTATGTCTCAGGGTCCACAGTGTTTCTCTCCGGGACAGTTGGGATATACATGTGACTCTGTTTCCTTCCGGATTCCTTTAGACCACTTCCCCACTATGACGGCAATAGAGTAGATAAGGAAAGTTGGAAATATCAAAGGGTAAAAACCTAAGCAATCTGTAGCCAGGAGGCCGCTGCTGTTCGCTGTCTGGCATCCTGGGCTCCGTGGTCACAGGGAGCGTCTAATTCCAGAGCTGCCCGATTTCCCATTAATCCGCTCTCCGCCTGGCTGCCCGACTCCGGGCTTGGGGCTCTGCCTCGCTGCAGCCTCTGCGCTCTCGGAAGGGCTTCGCGCCCCCCCACCCCCCGCCTGACCGGTGCATGCCTGACTCGCCCCCCGCCAGTTCCCAGTCTCTGTACTGACTGCTGGCGGTTTCAGTGTTTGCCGCTGTGCCCAATTACGTGCCTTTTAAGATATTTATGCACCTTCCCTACCTAAAAGGGTGGGAACTCCTCCAGGACGCACGTATATCTTGCTTTTCTCGATGCCCCGCGATGGCACATGGGGACACCTTGTGGGGACACCCATCGGGGACTTGGTGGCACGTGGGGATGCCCCTCGAGGACTCCATGGCACGTGGGGACACCTCGCAGGGACAACCCTCGAGGACTCGATGGCAGGTGAGGACACCCCTCGAGGACTTGGTGGCAGGTGGGGACGCCTGGCGCGGGGACGCGGAGCCGCCTTACACTTCTTGCGCTCCTGGTTGGCGGCCGCGGAGGTCTTGGCGTGGAGCGCACGCGCGCCCTGCAGCTCCTCCTCCTTCCGCCTCCTCTGGCACGCGACGACCGAATGGCGGTCGTGGCTCTTCTCCAGCTGCATCTGCAGGCGGGCCAGCTGCTGCTGGACCCCATAGAGGTTCACCCCCAGCTCCTGCCGCTGGACCCGGCTTTGCTTGGTGGCCACGCCCTGCACGGGAGGGAGAAACAGGGTCACGCGACGTTGGCGCCCGCCGGGTGGCAGCCTGGACAGATACGCACCAGCTCTTGAAGTTCCAGCTTCAGCTTTTCTATCTGACGGTTAAGGTAGCTCTTCAGGGCGGCCTGGAATCTGACCATCAGGGGCTGAAAGGGTGGAAAAGCACACGCGGTTACGTTCCTGTCCACTGGGCTGAGCGGTCCTGCAGCGCTCCTTCAGCGGGGCGGGGAGGACTCCTGCTGAGCCCCACTCCTACCTGGGGGTCTCACTGGGGAAGCCACAGACAGAAGGCACTGCCCAGTGTCGTCCCAGACACTGCGGAACTGAGTGCGGGTTTGGGCAAAATGACAGCGAGCTGGATGTCAGCCCAACTCAGTTCGGTTTCGCGGGCAGGTGGGTGGGGACAGCCTGGGATGCCGCCAAGAACTTTCCGGGCCAACCCTGCTCCTTCCTGCAGCTGCCGGAGCCCCGGCTTCCGACTGGCTTAATCAAGCCAGTTTGCCTGTGCCGCGTGCCAGAGGGCTGGTCAAGGAACTCCGGCCGGGCTGGTACATGGGCCGAGGCTCTCAGCTGGGGGAGGGGTGGAATTTTGCTCTCATCCCCACCCCCCAAATTGGCAATGTCTGGAGACACTTGTGGTTGTCGCACAAAGGGAGGGGTGCTCCCCGCATCTGGGGGGTGGAGGCCAGGGATGCTCAGCCTCCTACAATGCTCAGGACAGGCCCCCACCCCCCAAAGAGAGATGGGGCCCAGGTGTCAGTGGTGCTGAGGCTGAGGAAGGCAGACTTTAGGTATGTGCGCCTAAGAGGATACAGAGCATGGGCCAAAACGGTGCAGGCAAACTGTGCAGGGAACAGGTGAGACGGGAACATGCATGTGGGAGCTCAAGAATGGGCCGAAGTCTTCCTCCATGTGTGCTGGGCAGAAGCAAAGTCTGCTTACGTGGTCCGGGTCCAAAACCACAAGTTGGGATCCTTCGTCCTCGGTTTCGTGGCTCCCCTCGGAGTCCATCCTGTCCACCAGGGGCTGGCCCTCTGGGCTTAACTGCTGGATCTGGTCCAGGAACGCCGGCTGGGCCCCTTCCCTGGGCTGGGCATCGGGTCCCGGGAGGGGCACTGCAGGGAAGGGACAGCAAACATCACTGGGGAGCTGGCAGCGGGAGTCACCAACCTCAGGCGGCAGGAGAGACAGAGAAGCACCCCAATGGCTTAGGTTCAGAAATGTCATTCATAGCATCTTCTGTGCATGGATTCGACACCCTCCATAGAGAGGATTACATTTTAAAAGTAGACAAGAAGGAAATTTATTTTGTGGAGACTTCTCTATACATAGAGTGAATAGAAAGGAGGTCACTTACTGATGGACCCGATTTGATTTTTTAAATAGCTAATAAGATTGAAAAATAAATGACATCATAAATGACACTCCAGCTGCAGCTTTTCTATCCCTCCGAGTTGGAGAGATCCTGGTTCTGTTTTTCACTAGTTTAAGCATGTGCTATTTTCATGTCACTTACAACTAACAAGGTTTGGGCCATCCGTGCATTGATACCATCAGGGAATCGGTACTCCCCCGATCTGCCCTCCCACGTACTCGAAACTGGGATGTGTGAGCCAAGTGCAAAGACGGGGGTCCCAGGAGAGCCTTTGAAACCCAGCAGACAGATGTGCTCTTAGAGGGTGCTGTCACAGAGCTCCTCTTTCTGAGACCAGAAGGCAGCGAGAAACGGCCATCAGTGATGCCCAGTGTGTGTTAAGGCCCCATTCTGGCATTTACTCAGATAAGTCGCTTACTGCTCTGAGAATACCTTCTGTAAAATGGAGAATGATTCCTGCTTGGGCCGGTTAGTGTAAAGATCAAACAAAATAAAACAGTAAATGCTCAATGAATGTTATCCACATCTGTTAATAATATATATATTTTTTGAGACAGGGTCTCCCTCTGTCACCCAGGCTGGACTGGAGTGGTGCCATCATAGCTCACTGCAACCTTAAACTCCTGGGCTCAAGTGATCCTCCTGCCTCAGCCTCCCGAGTAGCTGGAACTACAGGCATGCGCCGCCATGCTTAGCTACTTTTTACATTTTTTGTAGAGATGGGGTCTTGCTGTGTTGCCCAGCTGGTCTAGAATTCCTAGGCTCAGGTGATCCTCCTGCCTTGGCCTCCCAAAGTGCTGGGATTACAGGCGTGAGCCACCGCACCCAGCTAAATAATATTTTTATCTTTAGGCTCACAGCCACACAGGAAACATACAGGAAACAAATGAGTAGCATCACTTGCACAGAACAGCATGTGCAAGTGGCTTATCCCGTTGGACAGGACCTCCCCGTGGGTCTGACGGTACCTGGCTCCCGCTCCTCCACGCCCGGGAAATGCTCATCTGTGTCCGAGGACACGTTGCTGCTCCCTCGGCTCAGCCTGAAGCGGTGTCGGGACCCCATGGGAAAGACCTTCTGCTGCAGCTTTTCTTGGGATTTTGTCTACGGCAAGAACAACCAAAACTGAATCAATGAGGGTTTACTCGCCACTGAGAACTTATTCGGTTTTGATGCATTACATCTGTGAAAGTTGTCAGAAGCAAAGGGAGTTATTTACATTAAAAAAACACTGAAAAACATAGCCAGGGAAGGCTTCTCATAACAAAAACTATCACAAAAGACTCTGCAAAAACCAAAACCTTCTACACAGGACATCATAACCTTATACAGGAAACACTTCTGCGAGGACATCTGCCCAGCAACTGGCTGTCCAGCCTGGACTGGCACCACCCTTGGTACTGATCCTTGTAGCCAAAGATAGTTATCTCAAAACAATTAAGTAATCCTCCTCATTTTTCCTTTAAAAACCTTCATCTTCCTTTACCTCCCTGCATGTGAACATAGTTTACTATGGCACACGTATTCCATTACACTGCCCTATCCCTGAATAAATGTCATTTTCTTTTAGAGAGACTCTTTCTGTTTGTTATTTAGGTTGATAAATTGTTCAAAATTCAACATAAATGTTCAAGTAATAGAAAATCATTTGGATGTAAAGATTATTTGGCTTTTGCACATGGTCAAAATAGAAAATATCCCGGCAGGGGTGGGGAACCTGCGGCCTTGGGGCCACATGTGGCCCTCCAGATCCCCAAGTGTGGCCCCCTGACCAAATCCAAACTTCTCACAGAATAAAAGGATTTGTTCTGTAAAATGTGGATTCAGTTAAAAGGCCACATGTTGCCCCAAGGCTGCAGGTTCCCCACCCTTCCAACCCTTCCCCCAGGGAATCTAGGAGTGGCTTCTGCCTGTCTGGATCTGCAGCTGAGTGCGACTACTGAGGCACGGTTCGTGCTGGATACTGAATGCTGATCTCCTAGAGGACGGAAACGATGTCTCTGAGCATCTTATAAAAGCATGCTGGAAAGCCTCGGCTCTGGGCAAGGGCCTCCCAGAAGACTGTTTCTTCTTCTCTTCCTTCAAACCATCCCCCTTTAAGGAAATTTCAATAAGAAAATATCTTCCCTTGATAAAAACACCTGGCTTCATTTTAGCTGTAAAAGAGGCTCTTGTAATCATTGACAATAGTTATTGCTGAAGAAGAACTGGCGACTATTAGCAACGACAGACGAGACAGTGCCTTACTACTCACAAAGAATCTTTTACAACCATCATCTCCTGCTGCCCTCACCTTAACCCCACAAGTCGGCTATTAGTCATTCTGTCACCTGCAGGAGGAGCAGATGAGCTTGCCCAGGTTTGCACAGCCAGCGGGGTAGGTTCAATGCCAGGCTTCTCAATCTCCAGCCTGTGCTCTTTCTAACTGTCCTTCCTCACGTGATGGTGGCTCTAGAAATTATTTCTGAGGCATCCAGAATCATAATGACATTAACAGAGACCCGGAGTCAAAGGCCCACCCCCAAGTGTCCCGAGAAGGCTTCTCCTGGTGAGAAGGTGGTGAGGTGTCCGTACACACACTGGACACAATTCTCACTCTCACAGTCCCCATCCCTTTGAAAGACTGAGAGCCAGCGTTTGTCCCTGCCCCCTGGCTGATCATATTTGGAAATTGCTTCCTCGCGAATTTTCTAGAAACTAGACCCAAGGATTGAAATTGGGTTTATAGCTCAACAAGCGACCTATACTTCACCTACACAGAGGTGAAGACACTGTTCAGGTTTTTGTTGTTGTTAAATTCTTTTGTTTTTTGAGACAAGAGTCTCACTCTGTCACCCTGGGTAGAGTGCAGCGGCGTCATCATAGCTCACTGCAGCCTCAAACTCCTGGGCTCAAGAGATCCTCCTGCCTCAGCGTCTCGAGTAGCGGCGGAGACCATAGGCCTGCGCCATCACGCCCGGCTAATTTTTCTATTTTTAGTGCAGACAAGGGCTCGCTCTTGCTCAGGCTGGTCTCAAACCTAGAGCTCAAGCGATCCTCTTGGCTTGGCCTTCCAGAGTGCTAGGCTGAGAGGCGTGAGCCACCGTGCCCAGCCAAAAAACTTTTTTGAGATGGGGTCCAGAGTCTCACTGTATTATACAGGCTGGTCTTGAACTCCTGGGCTCAAGTGATCCTCCTGCCTCAGTGTCCTAGTAGCTGGGACTACAGGCTCGTGCCACCATGCCCAGCTAAAACATTTTTGAAAATAAAAAAAATATATAAGAATGTAACTATTATCATTGTTATTATCTGGAACTGCACTGTCCAATATGGTAGCCACTAGCAACAGGAGGCTGCTTAAGTGTAACTTCATTAGCATCTTAAAAACCTGAAAGCTCAGCACCTCTGGCTCACTAGCCACATTTCAAGTGCTCTGTAGTCACAAGTGACTAATGCACCATATTGGACCACACTGCCCTGCGAGACTGAAGACCTGGATGCCAGTGCATGGATGGTGGCTATGGAAGGTCACCAACCTTGGGTTTGGGGACACTGAACAAGAGTCTGGGATCTCTCGACATTTGATAGTGGACCCTGAGACCTAAGTTAGTGAAGAGATTTCTAACAGGGATTGCAAATTGTACTTCCAGTGTATCCCTAGGTTCCCCATGTAGGGGGACAAACCAGGTGGGCAGTGAGACACTTGTACACAACAGAGCTCAGGGCCACTCACCGATCCGCCCAGTGTGGATCCAGAAGCATCCTGGCCTATTTGCTCAGGGGAGCTCAGGACTTCCTGGGACGGCTCTGTCGCGATAAGCCCCTGTTCTCTTGATTCTGATGGGCCGGTCGCCTCTCTGTAGGAGCCTTCAAGCCCGTCTTCCCTGCTACCTCTTCCTCCAGGCGGTTCCCGCGGGCTGCCGTCGGAATAGGCCAGATCCATGGAACTGATCTGCCCTTCAGGGGAGGCAGTTTCTAAATCAAATTCAAATTCTTCTTCCATCATGACTTCCTCTTCAAATTCGGCGTCCCCTTCAAATTCGGGGTCCCCTTCCAGTGCAACTTCTCCTTCAGTTGTGTCTTCCCTTTCAGGATGTTCCGTAGCCCCCACGGCGGCTTCACCTTCCTGGTCATCATCCTTCTCTATTGGTGACACCTGCAATGGTGCGGCAGAGGAAAAATCAGGACACAAAGTGAAAAGGGCCTTGTGAAGTGTTCTTCTTTCTAGGGTGATTACACTGGTGGGAAAGCTGCGTTTACACCGGAGAGATCGTGTTTCATGCTTTAGTTTCTCTGTTCTCCCTGATTTTCATAATCGTGTTGCACCCTTCATTGCAAGAAGTGAGTTCTGAAAGCTCAGGGCAACCCAGGAGTCGGATATCTTTGGCGTTTCTGACTAATTGCTTGAGAGTGGGGTAGGAGGAAGATTAACACTTGAGAGTGGGGTAGAAGGAAAGTGAGTTTCTCCACAATTTAACTGGGTTTGTTCCAGTGCAAGGTAACAGGGTCATCATACCATTTATTTGACCAAGTCCTAATTCTCTTTACTTTCTAGCAAATGCAAGCCCAGTATAACCTCCCCCCAGAACTTTACCCCGCCGCCTTCCTCCTCGTTCTGCTCCTCTCTGTCGGAAGCCGGCCGGCCTTCGGGGACAGAGCTAGTCTCAGAGAAACAAGAGAACAGTTTCAAGTGATGGTTTTCTTTTTCTTGGCATTGATCTGCTCCCGAATTCTGCACACCAATTTATGTCCTGTTACTTCTCTGCCTCCCCCCAGGCTGTGGGCCATGACTTTGTCCTGTTTGTCACTCACCATAGGACTAGGGGGCCCAGGCGCCACAAAAGAGGCATTTCATGAACAAATGAAAAAGTCAATTATCAAAACATTAAAGGAACAGCAGGATGAGACCACTCCAGAAAATCCACCTCATCTATACTTGTATCTGGGACAAAACTGGGGAAAAGAAACACAGAGGAAGTGGCACCATCAGGACGAGCTCGCTAGAGACTTTGTGTTTCTCCGTGATTTATGTAGTACAAGACCTTCCTGAGTCACATTTTAAAAATATTTCTTAAAATTGAAAATGCAAGCTAATTTTTTTCTGTCAAATTAATGCAGATGTGTGGACACAGACAGTGGGAGTTCCCTGAGATCTTCCCTTTCCTTCCCAAGACAACCGCCGGCAATAGTAAGAGATTTGGGGCTATGTTCTTTCAATTTTCTCTTATGCATTTAAACACGCACACAAACCCTAAGTTAGAGATCATACTACACCTACTGTTTTACATTTAGTCTTTTCAATTGATGTAACCGGGATGTCTTTCCATGTCAGTACATTCACACAGACCTACCTTTTAAAAACAAAGAAACCATACAGAAATGTCTAAGGTAAAAAGGTCAACTTCTTTAAAATCGTTTCTATCCTTTCAAACAAAGCATAGGCAGGCCAGGCCTGGTGGCAGGGACCTTCACCTAACCACCCTCTGTGACCGCAGGGACCCCTGCCGTCGCCGTCACCGCGAGGGAGACGCGGGGTCGGGCCGGTCTTGGGTCACGGGTGGGCCGGCTCTGGGTCCCGGGCAGCACCGATAGTCGGGCCCTGCGGTGGGGGGGCGGCCGAGCCTAGTGGTTGCCATGGTTACCGCAGGGCGGCTAGTCCCGGGTTTTAGAGGGAGTCGTGCGCTTGGAGTAGGGGAGGGGGTGACAGAGGACAAAGGGACAGGAGGTGAGAAGCGAGAGGGGCACGCAAGGTGGTGGTGGCGGTGAACCGGGGGATGGGGAACGGCCCAGGAAGCGGGAAGGAAGGGACAGAGCGGGCGGGGAGGGCGTGGAGGCGAGGGGCGCCGAGAGGGGCTACGGAGGGCGACGCGGGCACCCGGCGCGTACGACCGGGGAGCACCGCCCGGCCGCTCGACACCGCGTCCCTCCACCCAGCTTACCCGCCCGCCTCGCAGCCCGGCTCCGCCATCGCCGTTGCTAGGCAACGCCGTCAACTTCCGGCGGGGCCGGGCGCCGGGAGGGCGGGCGCGGGGCTCGGGGTGGCCATTGTGCCACCTGCATTAGCGTGTGTGCACACAGACCACAGGACATCCAGTTAGTAAATATACTAAAACATAAATGTGCATTTTCCTCACCGCTGTGTGTCCTGCTCTGCCCCGCCCTGCCTCAGCTTCTGCAGCGACAGGTGTCACCGTGCGCCTAGCCGGCGACTCTGGCGTCCCGAGGAAACTGAGGGTGCCTAGGGACGCGGACGCCGTGAGCCCCGGGGCTGCGGTCGGGGGTGCTCCGGGCGGCGGGACCCCGCGCTGGCGCCCGCCTCTCCCCCTGCAGCCCTGGGGCTCGCGCCCCGCCCTCGGGGTCGCGCAGGCGGCAGGCCCAGTGGCCTCACGGTGGGGTCGTGCCCTCCTAGCCCCAGCTGTGGAAACCAAGTGCCGAGGGGGGCTCGGAGACGGCGAGAGCACGCGGGGGCGTCCCAGGGCCCCGGCCTCCCCCCGGGGTACGGAGCTCTGGTCAGGGGCAGAGCCCGGGGTCAGGGCGGGCGGCGGGAACCCGGGGCTGGGCCCAGGGCGGGGACAGGACCCGGGCCGCGCGCCCGGAGGCGGACGGGGCGGGCCGGGGGGCGGGCCGAGGGCGGGCCGGGGCCGGGCCTCCCGCGCGTCCCCGCCCCGCCGCGCCTCACAGGCGGCTGCGGCGGCGGCAGCGGCGGTGGCGGCTCCCAGAAGCGGCGCGAATCCGGCCCCCGCAGCGGGACCCGGGTAGGTGTCCGGGCCCGGCAGGGGCGGCGGGAGCCGGGGCCGCGGGGCCGGCCGCGGACTGGGCAGCTCCCCTCGGCGGAGCCGGGCTGGGGCGCGCGGGGCGCGTGGGCCTGCAGTCGCCGGGCCGGGGAGGGGCCGGGGTAGGGGGCCGAGTCCAGCCGCAGCCCCAGGGTTGCGGGGCGTGAGCGGGAGCGGGGCGTTGCGGGAGGACCCGGGATCACGCAAGGGGCAGCCGGGGACCCCTCCGCGGCTAGTGGGGGCGCCCCGGGCCGGGAGTGGGCCTAATTCGGGGAGCCTCGGTCCCCGCCTGCCTGGAGCCGTGGGCCGGGGAACTAGCGGTCTTTGTCTGGCTGGATCGTCGGAGCACGCGACTGGGACCTTGTGGGGTGCCGGCGCTCGCAGACGCAGCCCCCCAAAGTGTGCTTCCAGTCCCGGGGCGCGCGCGTCCCTCGCACTCCCGGGCCTGTAGGGCGGGTGGTCTGCGCTGTTTCGGACCCGCACGTCAGCAGCTCGCTTCCTTCAGCCTGGGCTCAGCGCCCTTGCTCTTTACTTAAAAAAAAAAAAAGAAAGAAAAGAAAGGACGAGAGGAAGAAAAAAAAAAAAAAGAAAAGAAAAGGCAATTTAAGATTGCTAAAAATAACCTAAGGAATCCTGCCAGAAGCCCGTGAGTCTTGAAATCCTGTTATCCCCACAGTCGGAAGTTGGTGTCATATGTTGGCCACAGTGTGGCTAGAGTTGATTCAGAATTAGAAAACGAATAGAAAGGGACATAATAAAAGTTGGTCTGTTTTGGGTGTAAACTTTGTCTCACTGCGTGGTGGAGTTCACATGAGAAGCTGGGCTGGTCGGCTACCCCTGTGATTTGATCCTAAGGATCTACTTTCTTTACTACTTGAAGACACCTAATTCTTTTATCTGGGAAGAAAAGGAAAATGCTTCTCAAAAAGGGAATTGCCTCTGTGATGGGCATATTGTCAGAGGGTGGGAATTCCATTCCAAATGCGTTAGGATTGATTAAAGTGCTTTAAAAGTTCTGTGCATTAGTTTTAGAAATTCCTCATTAGAAATGTTGACATTAAAATTAATTAGTGAATATTAAACACTTTAAAGAGTCATGAAAACTTTTGCAAATAAAGGATTATTAAAGTGAGGAATACCTTCTAGTACCAATAATAGAGTTCGTTAGTGGCCTTGTGTTTTGAAAGGCACATTGTATGCTGAGTGTAGTTATTTTGTTTTCTGTAGCCCATTTTTCTGTGTGTAGAGTGTTTATGGTGAGCAGGCTGTCAGACTATGGCTAAAGAAAGTTTTCATCAGTAGAATTATTTAATTCACTAGCAACTATGGTGGTTGTGTAAATAGCTCCTGATTATCATGTATGAATTCACTTAGCTAACAAAACAAGCCCGTGAAGTCAGGACTGTGGTCATCCCCTTTTTACAGGTGGGAACACTGAGGCTTAGAGAAGTAACTTTCCCAAGTTCATGCAGCTGGGAGGGAGAGACCTTGGTCTCAGGCCCACGATGCCCGAGCTCCAGAAAACCGTTGTGCCACACTGCCTCCCCTCTTTTAATGGGGCCCCACCATTCTTATACACACTGTTTACCAAGTGACTCTTAAAAATGCAAGGAGGTGGAGCTAATTGCATGTCACCACTGGCTTCTCATACTAGTTCTCTTTAGTCTGTAGAGAGTCCCCAGTGTTCAGTGTAAAGGCATCTCAGAAAAGAGCCATCGGTGTTGCAGCACCTACCTGCCACTGCTCTGGTCTCTCCGGCCCGTTTTGGGTAGCCAGGTGCAGTGGTTAAGAACGTGACATGCACAGATAGACTGCGGGGCTCAAATACCAACCCTGGCACATAGTGCTTACTTAATTCCTCTGTGCCTCGGTTTCCCCATCTGTGAAACAGGAATAATCATGCTGCCTACTTCAAGGACTTGTTGCAAGGATTATCTGAAGCATGGAGTGCCTGGCCTAGAGTAAGTGCTTGTTACCATTTATCATTGTTATTAGAGACTATCATTTGCATTTTTCACATTTAGCTAGGTTGTAAAAACCGTTTGGTTTTGCTTTTTGGCCCCCCGGTTGGGGGGGCCCCCCGGGGAAAAACCGAATGCAAGCAAAAGCCGGAATCAACAGTTGGGCAAAATTGCAACCCTAACCTTAAAACCTGGCCGGGGCCCGGGGCCCCTGCAGGGCGTTCTGGGGAGTGAGCTGACCAGGTTGCCTGGCAACAACAATCTTCTGGGAACATTTCAGCTCCCCCTGTTCCACAGCTGAGGGACCCCGACTTTTTCACAGGCTTAAATCCTTTCTTGTAAGATTAGCTACTTAGTTTCCTGCAACGTTACCGCGTGGGGGAGGACGGCTCTTGAGGTGAGGATTTGCAGCAGCTGAGGTTGATCTTGCTGATGCATGCGGTGTCGGGCATCGTTTGCTGATGTGCGCTGAGAGGCCAGAGCACACAGAGAAAGCGTAGGTTTGCGCCCTTCTCTTCCCCCAACACGGGGCAATGACATAGGAAATCTCTGCATTCGCTTCAGTGGTAGTTTTCATCCTATTGATCTTATTGGTGTTTTTATCCCATGTGTCCCTTGGGCCCTGGTCTTGCGTCTCTCATAAATCTGCTTTTATGAGCAGTGAAATCTAATCTGAAATACGTTCTTTATCTCCGGAACTTATATAACCATCCTCAAAGGATGAGAGAAATCGGGCCGCTTGAAGACTGACTTCAGTTCATGCTCGCAGTAGCTCCTGTCACACGGCTAATACAGAGAAGGGAACAGAGAGTCCAAATGCCTTATCCAATCGGGGTGGCTCGTCCTCTTGCCGAGCCGTGGGCAGTGAGCCTGCGCAGGTGTTTAAGTTGATGAATGCTCTGAACGGACTGCACAGGCCGAGACGTGGCAGTGTTACTTCCCCGGTCCCTCTGGACTGGCCGTTGCAGAAGGCACCGCGCTATAGGTGCGGAGCCGTGTCCACGCTGGCTCACACGCACTGTTTTATGGCTGCTTCACCCACGTTGAGCGACTCTGAATTCAACAATCTGATACAGTTGCTCATTGCACGCTCTAGCATTCTGGAAGTGGGGGACAAGACATACTTGGCATTGTCATTTGACACTCTTTCACCTTTCAATTTCTGTAACTAAAATGCGCTCTTTAAGCAAGGTCAGTTGTGTTGCCTTTTGGGTGCTGTGAACACCATCCCCCCATTTGAGTTTTGGTTTATGGTGCGTTAGCTGCTACTTTACCGCAGACAGCGAGAACCTTCAGGTATCTGTGTGTACAGGCGCAATACAGACGTCGCAGTAACTGAGTTAATGCCCTAAACCTTAGTTCCTTTATTTTAAATGCAAGCTGATGGTCCTTTTGTCACTTGTGAACCCTGAATGTGATGCGTGTGTGGAGCAGCGTCATCCTGTAACGTGAAGTTAAGTACAACAGAGTGGGGGAGTCGTGTCAGCCCCCAAGGGCTCATCCCAGTGGTAAAATGGGAGGAGACCCAATGTCCCCAAGCTTTGCGGCTCGAGGATGGGTCCCGAGCTGGGCTGCCTCCCCCTTTGATCCACAACGCCAGGGGTCCCCAGAAAGAGGCGGTGAACCTGCCTGGTTCCGGAGGGTGCGGGGAGCTGGGGCCTCACTGAGCATGCCAGCGAGATGTTTTGTGGGAGGAAAAAGATCCCTGTTTGCCTGTGTCCGGCTCGTGTTTAACAAGGCAGGTCTTATGTCTGCTCTTCATTGCTCGGGCTTCGAGGGCAAAGCAGATGAACCGGTTTCTGCCGGCCACATGGCGGGTAACCGGAGCACAGGGCGTTTTGCATCTGAGCGGTCTGACGGTGACAAGGCCAAGGGCATAGTCAGCTGTGGGCTTTGTTTCCTGACAGCCTTTCAGCGTCCAGTGCCCTCCCCCCATGCCCTACCTGCTTCGGTCCCTGTTGCAGCCAACAGCTGTCACCAATGGGCGTGGGCTGCAGCCGCCAGCTGGGAACTGCCAGCTCCGTCAGGGGCCAGGGCCAGGGCCAGGTTTGTCCAGCTGACTGCTGCCTCCCAGCCCTGACCCAGGGTGGCCCGAGGCAGGCACACAGCTCTGAGGAACGAGAGAAGAGGCTGGGCCGTGCTCTCTCCTAGTGGCTCCAGGCCACCCTGTTACTTTGGTCTTTGTGGGAAGTCTCTTCCGGAAGAGACTTTTGCCCCTTTGCTCTTGCTGTTTCCCTGTTTGGGAACCGACGGGGCCCTTTATGCCAGGACTGGAAACCGAGGCTGTGGGTGGAGATGCCTGCTGGGGCGGCACTGGTCCGGGAGCATGCGGCTTTCCTGTGCCCGTTCCTGCCGCTCTCACCGGGACGTCGGGGCCAGGTGCTCTCCTCTCCTGGGTTCTAGGCCTCAGTCCTCATCTCACTGCTTAACGGGAAGTTACGCTCGGTGGGGACTTGACGGTCAGTGGGTAAGCCAATCAGAAGCCTCCCTGGGACTTAGAAGTCAGCTCCCTGCAGTGCCCTTGGCTGGGTGTGGGTGGCAGAAGAACGCCCTGAGGATGTCCAAGTCCTAATCCAGAGAACTTGTGAGCATGGTGGGTTACGTGGCCAAGGATTAAGGTTGCAGGTGGGATCGAGGTTGCTAATCAGCCGACCTTGAGATGGGAGATTGTCCTGGGTTCCCTGGTGGGCACAATGAATCACAGCGTCCTTACGAGTGGAGGAGGGAGGCAGGAGAGTGAGGGCCAGAGTGACGCCACGCGGAAAGGACTCAACTGGCTTTGAGGTGGAGGAAGGGCCGAGAGCTGAGGAACGTGGCGGCTGCTAGAAGCTGGAAGGGGCAAGAAAACATCGTCCCCTGGAGCCTGCAGAAGGAACCCACCCTGGTGACACTTCGATTTTAACTCGGCAACACCCGCATTGGGCTCCTGACTCCAGGACTGCGAGATAATTCACTTGTGTTGTTTTAAGCTGCTAAATCTGTGGCGATTTGTTACCGCAGCCGTAGAAGCTCATACACCTG